AAATAAAGGCACAACTGCTGAAAGCAATAAATACTTAAAGAGCCTAACACAGTACACTTGAGAGGGAATGGAGAGTCTCCATATACGAATTCTGAAAGAAGTACAACATATGGAATATGTATCGCATTTTTTAAAAATGCATCAAAACAAGGGAAATAACATATCATACAGTAACAGAATACTGGAAAACATTCTTTCCACCTCTCATAAAATTAGGGAGTGCAGGTTCCTCATTCATTGGTTCCATGAAGATGGGATTACTAAAAAAAGTCTGAATACAACATTGAGCATTTTTCCCTCTTCTTCAGAGAACTCGTAGCAGCTCACCTTTTACTCCTCCAATAAAATAAACTCCATGAAACCTAGCCTTGAATTCTTTTCCTCTTTTCTTCACGTTTCTGTTAGGATGACTTTATTACTGCTTCAACTATTGTTAGTTATTATCCATTTGAAGTCATTAGCATCCTCCATTGTGTTTAATATCCTAATGGAACATTGTTAATTGTTAACTGAACCTAGCTGTCTCACTCTTCAGCAAACTGCCCTCTCAAACAGAAGCACCATTTTAAAACAAGTTCAAGCATACATCTTAACATTACCCTGACTTTAATTATTAATGTTTCAAAAATTGTCAAGTCTGTTTTGACTTTTTCATATATTCCACATGGCAAAATTATTGTCATAAATTCAAATACCTACCCCAATCTATAATCTAACAGCAGTAATTATTATCCAAATAATGCCCCAAATGTTCCTGCTCAAAATCTAGCGCTTAAAGTCCTTACATTTTAACTAAAGTCAGATTTTTAAAGAGTCAAGAGAAGCAACTGGGAATGTGAACTCTAGGAAACACGTGCAGCTATGTCTTCTGGATCAGATATCTGCTCACTTCAAATAAACAGCTACCACTGGATGAAAGAATCCTTGCAAGTACAACAATGGAAGGCATCTTAAGGGAAGCATCCTTCAGCTCCCTTACAGCTCTTCAATGCACGACACCAACTAGTAATTAGTTTCGCTATAAAATATTATTTACATTATACCTGTAAAACTGGAATTAATGTTTTACATATCTACAGAAAAACTTAGCTTTTGAATGCACTTCTTATAATTTGCATTAATAACAATATTTGGCAGCATTTTACAGCTAGAATCTCTATTCATATAAACATTCTCTGTATAATTACATGCTTGTAATGCTTCCAGAGGAACTGATCTGGAGAGCTTCTGCTTTTATTTTCATGTGGGAAAAACCTCCTGTGTGAATCAGTGTCCTTGCTCATTTTGCATTTCTCAGTTATCAACATTTTTTTTTCCTTGATTCAGTCTTGAAAATCCTCTGTAATCAGGAGTACATTGTTCTTTGGCACTATGTAAAAGAGCTCCCACAGTGAACTAGAGAATGATTTTATTTCCTTCCTGGGCTGCTTTGGTGACTCCGTATGTCTGAACAACCATCAGATTTATTTAGCTTCTTATAGGCGAACTGAAATCAAACTGGCATTGTCTGGAATGTATCTTATTAGAATGCAAGAACATCCTTACTCAGAAAACGAATGCCAGGGTTTACTCAGCTCACTCTCTGTGCCGGCATCCAGTATCTCCAGAGAATGATGGAGTAGCTTGCTATCATTTCACCAAACATCAAAAAATCCTCTCATGTCAGTCTCTGAATAATGGTGTTCATTAAGTAGAAAGCTGCACCTACCCTTCATAACAAATTGAACTTTTGTTGATCTCTTGATCTATTATCAGGACTTTGCAATTGTTGTAATGCTAATGTACAGTCAAATATAGGTGAATGCACCTCAAGCCAGGTTAATTTCTATGGCAACTGCATAGTTTCCTCAGGATAATGGGGACTTCCAGGATAAGTGGAGTCAGGCTGTTATCTAACTGGTCGTACCTTCTTCCCTTGTCAAAAGAGGGTCTGTCTGCTCTTTGCTGCCCTCAGCTTCAGGTGCAGCCACAAGGTAACTTCTGATACTTTGTTTTCCCTCTGCCTTTTCAGGCTGCACTGGCAAAGAAAAAGTAGAAGATGCCACAGACAGGAATGTTCACATTAATACTGACCATGCAAGTGTTGTTCAGTGCCTTACCAACTTGGGGATAGATGTAGCATGCACTTACACAGTCCACTTACATTGCACTACCTGTCTGTTCAGTCTTGGTATCTTCCCAATTCAGAAATATAGTGGATGGAACCTCTTTTTTCCTTTTTGTTTTGAGTTATCTGTCCATATACAGATACACGCCACAGAAGACTAAAAATACACACTCAGTTTCCTGCAGAGAAATGTTGACATCTTCAGACACCGACTGAACCTTTGCTATATTCCTCAGTACATTTCCCAAAGTATTTACCAAAAAAAAGAGAATTTTGATTGAAAAAATGAAGGTTCAGACATGATCAGACCACCTGGGGTTCAAGCTCAAGAGTGCTGGATATACAGAAGATTCAGATCTCACTGAGCAACAGACAGGAACAACTTTGTAATGTTCTTTAAAAAATGAGTCACTCACTAAGGGAAGGCATGATGAACAATGTAGGTATTAACTGAA